CAGAATAATCAGTTTTTGGAATAAGATGTCACATTCTATATACATAAGTCATGATACTGGATGGTTTACATTTTTAACAGCACATAAGAATGTGTCATTTATGTAAGGTTTACACAAACCAGTAGTTAAATTAGCTTTTGTATATGCTTGCTTGTACAACATGAGAAACATGGTGTTTTCCTCTCTTAATACAGGACTTCTTACATGATGATATGGTACCATATTGCTCTAAAGAATATATATTATTGTATCTACAAATTTTCAGTGTAAGGAAATGTGTAGCTGTAATAGTATAAAAGTTTTGACATGAAATAATTAATAATTGATGGTACAAAATGAAATATTGTGTTGTTTTCTTTTTTTTTCTAAGGAGTTCTGATTATACCAGTTTTTCATAACATTACTTTTCTCATCTCATAAAATTGTGGCTCCATCAAAACATAAAATTACTTTATCATACTATCTTAAGTTAGTTCTTCAGTGATTCTCTGCAAAATGTTACATTATACTTATAAGGAATAAAAGTGTTCTCTGTAACAGTAATCCATCTATGTTTTAAAATGTACCCTGTATGGGTATACTTAATTTTTTCACCAAGTACTTATTTTTTGGTACTTATTTGGATTGAAATGTCCACACACAAGGCTAATAGTTAGTTAAGTTACTGCTAGTTTTTATACTAATGCCAAAAACAGCGTGTAGACAAGACTGTTAATAACTTTTATATATACACACATATCCTTTTTTAATTAAAAAGCAATCAGAATATATTATACACAAAGTTAAGTTAATGTGGTTTTAATATCACCACCAATTAATTCCTCTACAATCTTAATTGAACATTATTATCTCTAAGGTTTTATGGTATTTCTTCAATAATCTGATGAAAACAATGGTGCCAAAGAGGTTTATTTATCTCTCTGTGTTCAACTATCCAATATTGATTTAAAAGAAATTTATGACATGTTTTTTTTTTGGTAATTGATATCTTCCTTTGCAAAATATTTATACATACATTGATTAAATTTGATTTTTTTCTATTTTAAAATATTACTGCATATTTTCCCATACCTGGGTTAAATAAGACAACTGCCCGTAAGCAGCCAAGTTCAGTTTTGTCCATTTTCATTTCTCGCATCTTAGCAACCAACTCTGTGAGCACTCTGTCAAAGATAGCTCCCATTCCTGCACTGTGGGCACTGTTTCTCTGTACTACCAACCCTGTCGCTAGGACTATTCCATCTTTTACTGAAATAGACCGATGAGAAAAGGCTGCAATCAGCAGCTCATTCCAACCTAAAAACATAAGGAGTTCAGTTAACATTTACAGGTGAAAATATGCAGACCAGTTTGCATTGTAAAGCTTGGTGAAAAGTAACATATTCATGTAAATTCTTAAGATATTATTTGAACAAACATTTTATTTGGAGATGATTGGCAGTATTTAAAAACAAATACTTTAAACCTTTAAGTACACCCAACTACAGAAAAAAGTCATTCAGAAGAAAAAAAAAATTAACAATCCATTACTTACTGTTCAGCATTTATTCATTTTACAAACAAAACTGTATATTTTTCGTCTTACATTTTGATTTTAAAAAAGTAGTGTATAGCTTTACCAATGATGTTTTGAATAAACTTTACCCCAAAATTTTAGCCTTTTGCTACATCTAACTAATTTTTGTCTCATATTTTACACGTGAGAATTAAAAACAATTTTAAACTGACTCTTACAGCATTTTTATATAGAATACATCAACCCATTTTCCATGTTAATGGTGATGTCGTTTTAAATTTAAATATAACACACACACACACAAAAGTCTTTATGTACTTACATTGAACAAATGACAAAATATTTATCATGAATGAGAACATATATATATAAAATATTCTGACAAGTAATTAAAAATAACAACAACAACAATTGTTCAGTTAAACTTGCCTGTTTTAAGTAAAAGCACTTGATCCTCTATAGGTAATTCTGTAAAATGAGGGATGTGTTTTGCCCATTCCACTAGTTGGTGCAATTGACAGTCTGCAGCTTTACAGATGTTGGCTAAGGGCTCCTTCTGTAAAACAGTACAACAAATTAATAATAAACAAACATTGTTGTCATAATCAGCGAAACAAAAGCAGAAACCTTCATACAGCCAATAAAAATGTACTTTACAAATGTACCATTGACTCACCAGTGGGCTTCTAAAGATATACTGGTAAGACTACCTGGGCAAATATACTTTTAATCTGAACAAAAATTATATTTTTCTTACTTTTAACTCTTACATATTAAAGTTTTGCAATGATTACCATTATTCCTTAATAATTATAAGTATTCATTGTGATCCTATAAAGAAAAAATATTGTAATGACCTAAAAGATCCTGAAACATTGTATATACCTTAGTAAAATTCAGTAAACTTACTTAGCTTACTGGTCAAGACCAAAGATATAACAGAATTCTACAAATATATTTTACTGTTTCACTTACTACAGCAAGTAAAATTGCAAGTTCAATTAAAAAGTAAAATCCTATAAACAACAAACTAGTAACAGACTACTTAATTTGACTGTAGTTTAACTCTTTTCCTCTTGAGCTAATCCAATTACCTAGTCAGTAGTCAGTGAAATATCTGCTAATTTATTTTGCAATACTTCTGGCACATATCCTTTATAAGAAACAATAAGAGACCAATCCATGTTCAATTTTCAACAGACAAATCCTTTAACATCTATATAAATAACCCATATCTGTCTCTAGAACTTCGATACTTAGAAGTTAAGTATATGATAATTTCATCTTTAAAATATAACTTTAAATAAGGGCTTCGGTTGCACAGAATAAGTGAAAAAGCAACCCAAGTAATCAGAAATGAGGAGATACTTTGTGAAAACAGAGGATGGTCAGATCAAATGCACAAGGGGCTTTGTAGATGAGCTGAATATACAATATCATGATGAGGGAAAGAACAATGTGCTGAACACACCTATGAAGAATTATAACAAAACATTCATATACCTACTGATTAACACATTATATATGCATGTATTATTCCCAAAATAAACAAATGATGTTAAACTTGAGTGTGCACCATACTTTTTCCATGTAACCTCCAGTGTTTTCTGTGTTGTGTGAATTATAAATCACCCTGTATAATGTGAGTGAGAATATATTAGTGTGCCGATAATGATTTAATTATAAGTACTGTATGTATGTATTCAACACCTTAATATCTAATTAAATCTATGCCTCCTTTCTCCTATACATTTAAAGCAGTGAATAATGTTTTCAAGCTTTCGATAAGTTATGATAATCTGAAGTTTCAAGTGTTTTACGGAAATATAATAATACATCCTAATTACACTGTGTATTATATTAATACTATTTATGTGCTCCCTGTTGTTGCTTCATCACAGAACCAATCCATATGTTTACAAATTTATGCAAAACAAAACAAAGTGATGCTAGCCTATCTAAGCTAACCTATAAAAGAAACTAAACTCTCTCTTCTTTGTATCACATTCACAAGTACTTCACTCTGTCTGTACATTGTTAAATATACCTTCCATACAAACACCTTTTAAACATTTACAACTCACAAGAAATGTGCCAATAAGAATTAAAACATCTCCAATAGAATACTTTTAAAACACTATCAAAATCTCTCTCTCTCTCTTTATGTATTTTGTTGGTTTCTTTACACTACGAGGAATATGCTTGAAAACATTTTTGATAATTTTTTCTTTCGAAACAATAACTGTACATGCCTTTTTCTGTACAATCAACATGGGAAATAAAAAACTTTCTGATGTCCATGCAAAAATTACGTCTAAAAAATAACCAAAAGATATGTACCATAAATATTTAACAATAATAAATGGTTGAATTAGTGGCATTGCAAACAACAAGAGTAAAAATGCAGTCAGGGCCATTTAGATTCTTAAAAAATATGGACAATATAAAAAAAAATCCAGATGAAGAAGATGAAGCAACAAGCCTCACTGAGAGCTTCCTGACTCTGAAACCCATGCCAGCAAATACTGGGTTAAATATTGCTTGTAGCCTCCAATTTTGACAGAAGATAATTGTCAATTGATGTGTCACTAATTAGTCTATAGAAAAACAGGTGTTCCAGACAGGTGAGACCAATACTCCGCAGTGCAGGGAGTCTCAGAAGTAACTTTGCAAAACGGCCTTGTTGATCGGGATACACTTGCTTACAGTATTCTTCCAGAGATGCATAAACCTTTTCTCTTAGAGATTCTACATGCTGTACAGACTTTAACTTTTTGGCTTCTGTAAGAGTAAAAATATAATGACTTGTAGGAGCTCCATAACAATAAAACATTATTCTATAACTTACCAATTCACTGTCTTATTATAACTGTAGAATTACTACCTTACTAAGCATTAGCTTTAAAATTTATTCTCTAAACTGTTTTCAAGTTACAAAAGTATTATGGACTTGCTATTAAGATAACTTCCAGAAAGAAATTCAGTCTAACTAAGATAAGTAATATATACTAATCAACAGTTTTATAAGTTTATTCATACTTCACTAGGCAACAGTATTCTTGGTGCAAGTTCATTTTGTATTTTATTGGCTACAAATTTATAGTAAAGGTAATTCTTATCATTATTGAAAGGAACATAACAGTATATTAATCAAAAGCAATTCACTGCTAGAAAAATGTTGTATGAAATCTGATTGAATGAGTTTAAAAAAGAACTTAGTTTATTATAATGATAGTCCAATATTTTTTTCTTATTATCACACTTTCTTCATTTAAAATACTTTATTATTATATCTCATTTCAATGTGTTCACTTCTTAAATGTTGTCATAATTAAAACATTTTTTACTAAAATTATACATTCCAGGTGTTGATAGGCTCAATTAATTAAAATATTTACCTTATGATTGTTAAAAATTGTTAAGTAATTAAGATAAAGTACGATATATTTACTTCTCAAGATATTTATCTGTTTGTGTTTTTAAGCACAAAACTACACTATTGACTATATGCACTCTGTTTGCTATGGGGAATTAAACCCTGGATTTTTGTGTTGTATGTCCATAAATTTAGTTTTTAGATAAATGTCATATCCTGCAAATACCAAAAATATTTAATGTATAAATTTAGTAAAATGTTTTAATCCTGACAACATGGATTAAAAAGAATACATGGATTTCAAATGAGGTATAATAATAATAATGATAACGTCTTTAAGTTAATGTGATACCTTGCAAATACCAAAAATATTTAATTACGCTTTAGTTTTCATAAACGAAATTCAAGTACTACAAAGTTTGGAAAGTAAAGAAGCAGTGAAAAACGAACTTATGAATAAAGATTTAGTAGTGTTCAACATTTCGCTTTTACTTAGAAGAAAGTTTTCTCAGTATGTGTGCTAAAGCTAGTGTCTTATGTTGGCATAACATATAATTTCTTTGAGGTGTTTATTGATGGTTTTTTTTTTAGTAGCTTAACAGATTTTAAGATTTCTTATCACTAGTGAGGTTTGTTTTTCACTTATCCAAGCCATGTAAATAATACTGTTAGTAACTGGGAGGCAGATTCCACTTTATGTTGCTATGAGTTTATATA